AATAATAAAGATTCGAGCAGAGATGAATGAAATAGAGAAAAACAAATGGAATTGGAAGTTGGTTCTTCAAAAGATCAACAAATTTGACAAATCTTTAGCTAGATAGACTACGAAAAAAGTGAGAAGACTCAAAAATAGCTCTGGTACTAAAGCCAGATAAAGACACCACAAGATAAGAATGCCACAGACCAATATGCCTTATGAACACTGATGCAAAAACTCCTCAACAAAATACTAGCAAACAGAATCCAGCAGCATATTAAAATGATTATGCACCATGACCAAGGGGAATTTATTCTCAGGATGCAAGGATAATTCAATGTATGAAAATTGATCAATGTAAAATGGCCTATCAAGAGTGAAGGGGAAAAAAACACATGATCATCTCAACTGATGCAGAAAAACCATTTGACAAAAGTCAACAGCCCTTCATGATAAAAACACGCTCAAACTAGGAACAGAAGTACACTACCTCAATATAATAAAAGCCATATATGAAAAACCACACAGCAATCACACTCAATGAAAGACTGACGCTTTTCCTCTCAGATGGGGACGACAAGGGCACCTGCTTTTGTCACTTCTATTCAACACAGAACTGGAAGAATCCACTTAGCCAAGGAGACCGAAGCCTTCTACAACGGAAACTACGAACACTGCTGAAAGAAAGTCAGGAAGACTCAAATAACCAGAAACTCAACCCATGTTCATGGATTGGAAAGCAATACCGCTAACATGCCAATATTACCAAAGCAGTCTACACACTCAATGCAGCCCCTATCAAAATCCCAATGACATGTTTTGCAGAAATAGAAAAACCCATCCTAAAATTCACAGGGAATCTCAAGGGACCCTGACTAGCCAAACAATCTTGAAAAAGAACAACAAAACTGAATGACTCACAATCACTGATTTCAAAACCTACTACAAAGCTGCAGTCATCAAAGGCGTAACAACAGACATGCAATGAAAGAGAACAGCAGACCCAGACAAGATTATGCAGTGGGAAAAAGTCTCCTCAAAAACAGTGCTGGGAAAACTGGGCAGTTACATGCAAAAGAATGGAACTGGACCACTTTCTTATATCATACACAAAATAAACTTGAAATAGATTAAAGACCTAGACGTAAGACCTAAATGTAAGACAAAACACCTAAAAGAAAATACAGGCAGTAAACTTGAACATTAGCACAGTCATTTTTTTCTGGATATGTCTCCCCAGGCCAGGGAAGCCAAAGCAAATAACTAATTGGGACCACATTAAACTAAAAACTTCTGCACAGTAAAGGAAACCATCAGCAAAACAAAAGGCAACCTACTGAATGGGAGAATATATTTGCAAATGACATAGAAATACCATACGACTCAAGAATTCCAATTCTAGGAATTTACCAAGGAAAACAAAATCACTAATTCAAAAAGATATATGCAACCCTGTTTACCGCAGCATATTTACAATAACCAAGATACGGAAGCAACCTAAGTGTCCATCAACAGATGAATGGATAAAAAAGATGAGATACATATGTACAATGGAATATTATCCAGCCATAAAAAAGAATAAAACCTTCTCCTTTGCAACAACATGGATGGACCTAGAGAATATTATATCAAGTGAAATAAGTCAAAGATAAATACCATATGTTTTCACTTTATATGTGGAATCTAAAAAATAAAGCAAGTGAACAAAACAAAAGTAGACTCCAAACACGGAGAACAAGCTGGTGGTTGCCCGGGGAGATGGGTTAGGTGAAGGGGATAAAGAGGGACAAACTTCCAGCGGTAAAATAAGTAAGTCATGGGAATGAAAAGTACAGCACAGGGAATACAGTCAATAATACTGTAATTACCTTCGGTGACAGTTGGTAACTATGTTTATTGTGGTCAGCATTTCATATGCATATAATTACTCAACCAATATGCTGTACACCTAAAACTACTACAATATCGTATATCAACTACACTTAAAGTAAAAAAAAAAATAAAGCCCAGAAATAAACCCTTACATATATAGTCAAACAATTTTTGACAAGAGTGCCAAGACCATTAGTGGGGAAATGACGGCTACCTTCCTCCCACGTCCCTCTCTTATATCCTAGGGAGTCTGCATTACCGACTTTATTCAGTCAGCAAACGTTCCGGAGCCCACATTGGCAGGGCTCACGGCATTTCAAAACAGGCATCTAATTCTAGCGGCCATTGACTCCAACTTCAGGACAGGAAGTTGCCTGGACGTGAAGCTTCCTTTGACTCTCCACGGCCGGCCCGAAGACAGACTGCAAAGGCTCTCGCTGTTCCGGCCGACGAGAAGATGCAAAGATTCCACAACAGATCACAGACAACAGGTGTGTCCTCTCAAAACTTTTCTTCTGGCTTGTTTTTTAACAACTACTGGGGTGACTGGGTATAAAGTGGACACGCCATCGACCCGATGGGCTCACCCCGTCTAGATTAACCACGTAAAGATGAACGGCTTCACTGAGGGCCTCGGCGGTGTGAAGCTTCCAGCTCCTGGTGGAAGCATGGGCGCAGTTAGGCCATCGCCAAAAGCCTGGCCCTCAAGCATGAGGAGTAAGGGAAACGAGCTTCCAGGACTGTGGCAAGGCCATCTGAGAGGGTCATGCGTGAAGCCAGCAGGACGAGGACCCCCCCACTGCCCCAGCTCACGCAGGAAGACTGTTCAGGAAGCATTTTCCAAAGAAGAGTACACTTTTTTAGCTTGTCTATTTCTCATTAAGCATAATACTTAGGAAACAAATGCCCAGGCTAACTAGATATTTGGTGATACTGAGAAATTTAGGTTAGTTTTTAGCTGCATGTTTTTCAGCCTCTCCTAGAGACAGATTCTGAATTGTTCAGAGGTGAAATGACACCATGTGTGGGATTCACTCTAATATATCAGTGGGGCAGGGGATGGGGAAGGGGAGCTGAGGCCAGGCTGGCCAGAGCTGGGCACTTCCGAGCTGGTGACAGGTGTGTGTGCCCCCTGGGATCATCATACACTTCTCTACCTTTACATTTGAAGTTTTCCATAATAAAAAGGTTAAAAAAAAAAGAATGTACATGCCAAAATGTTTACAGTAATCTAAACAGATGCAGTTATGCCTGGAATTGACTTCAAAAAAATCAAAAAGGGCTGTGGGAGAGGACACAGGCAACACAAGGCTCCCCGTGAAGCTGGTACCCGCTGCCGTCCCAGGTGGCCCATGGGACTGTCCGGTCTGCTTTTCTTTATGCTTGAAATTTCCATCCCATGAAGTTTTAATGGGAGGAAAGAAAAGGGAGAAAGACATTTGCAGGCTGAATGCCACCGAACAGTGATGCTCGGCATGGGCCACAAGGGAAGCAGGAGCCTGCTGGGCGTGGCCACGCCCTGACCTGCAGGATGTCCCCCAGGTCGTGTCCCCAGCAACACACAGGCGCTCCCGGGGGCGGGAACGGGAGCCCACACCAGCACCGTCTCTGTCGCTTTCTCCTCTAACATCTAAATCCGTTTGTGGCGGTAATGCTTGATCCCTGTTCACCCACTGCACACCTAACCCATTTTCGTTGTTCCACACAGCAAGTCATTTGTGCGGAAAACAGTCTCACACGCCAGAACATTTCCTCTCCAGATTACACTGAAGAAAGTGCACTTGATGACAGTGAAATGGAATCCGATATTCCGAGTGAAGATAAACCCGCACATCAGAAACTACCGACTGGCTATTATGCAGCCACATTCCCAAAGCTCCGGGAAGCAGCGACGCATGTCGGGACCACCTGCCACTGGTTAAGCATTTCAATGAGGAGTTGAAAAATAATAATAAAGTGTCACATAAGACATATCAGTTTCAGCACACAGACTTCACAACGACAAGCAAATTATAATTAACATTCTCCAGGGGACATTATCTAAATGTAAATGAGGAGCGGAGAGCAATATGGAGCCCCACCGAGGTGCTAGGCCCACACTGAGACCTGGACGGCTCCCTCCTGGTCTCCCACCCACACCACACCACCCACACCTGGCGGCAACCCCCACCCTCTGCCTCAGGATCCCTTCCCCACCCCAGAAGGCCCACCCCACGCCAGGCCCAGACTGCCCACTCCATGCATCCAAGCCTATTCACACACAGTTGCATTTTAGCTGAAACTTCTGGTAATAAATAAAGAAAAGCAGAACTGGGAACAGCTTCATTAACATGACTGTGACTGTGTGTTCACTCTAATCAGAATACCAGCCTCTAGACTTGCTCACCTGAGGAGGACTCTGAATTACACCGCTTGAGGACGTCGGAGAAGTCAGGTGGCTGCCCAGAGCAGGTCAGAGAACAAACAGCGCGCAACAGGCAACAGCCCACTCCCCTGAGGCTCACCCCAGCACCCGTTATCCGGCCTTGCACTGCACCAGCGGCACAGCGCCTCTGCAGGACCAACTACTGCAGAAGGTGTCTTGTTAGCCTTTTTTATTTTTAATTTATTTATTAAATTGACATTTGCTTCCTCAAACACAACACTGAATCTTAAGAACAGTATGATCTGAGTTTTCCAAAGAATCTATATCCATGATGTAACTGGTGTCAATGTGGTATTTCTTCCAACTGAATCCTATAAATTCTTACTCAGTTACGATACACGCATTTATATAAAGTCCTAATAAGAAAATATCCATCACTTGTGCAAACTCAAGCTTTACTACACTTAATGTCATGGTAAAACTACATTAAAATGGTCTCTTTTCAAAGTCATTATCAAGTTGATCATGATGAGTTAGTGTATCAGGATGCCTACTGACCACCCTCAGCAGCAGGATGCCCTGTTACCATAAAGACAGGAAATGATCATAACAAAGCTATCACCGGGCAGAAGCATTTTCTAGAATCATATTCTGTAATTGTTATCCATTTTGTGAATAATAATTACAGTGCTTTTAACAGGAAAAAGTGTTAATGGCAACTATGTGTGCTCTCAGTGCACAGCCACCACGGGGGGACCTGAAACGAAACGCTGGCTCTTACGTTGCTGCCCACTCCTGACGGGCTGCTGAACGCGTACTCCAGCTGGAAGACGACGGCGAACGCGGGGTGGCAGACCATCTCAGGCAGTCGGAGGTGGCTTCTCAGAACCAGAGCCTGGTTCCCAGGGCTGGTTCAAGAACACAGAGCAGAGGCACATCAGGCCTGGCAGCCGCTGCCCTGCACCCACCTGCGCCACCGCCAGCTCCCCCAAGTCACGGCGCTGCTGGAGCAGCAAGTCCCCCAGCAACACCACGAGCTGTTCTGTGCATTTGGCCCCCAAGATATTCCCCAAACCAGAGCCTGTTTTTAGGTGCCACACCAACACTTTTCCAAAGTGCCAGGCATGTACCAGGAGGTGGAATGATACAGCCAGGTCTCCAGGGAGGCGCCTCCTCTACAACCAGCCTCAGCCCAGCTCCGCATGTGACACCCCTCAGAGTTGTCCCTGATTCTCACTTGGGAGGCACAGGACTGAGACAAGTGGCAAAACCCCTGGCTCTCCATCACATGTGGAGCTGATCACAGGGCACATCTGGAAGAAAACACGCCAGGGTCTCCCCACACCCTAAGCAGCCACAGCTGGAATAGAATGTAATGCAAACCCCAAAAATGTCACAGCACAAAATCAGGATTCTCCAGCCTTTCAACATTGAGCTCTGCTCCCAGTGGCACAACTCAGCAAGAGAAACAAAGGCACCGGGGAGAAGCCCCAGCTGGGTGAGCGCACACCTCACGTGCAGGAACTTCATTGCACTTTGATCCCAGGCCCACTCACAGCTCCTAATTCCACAGGGGCCATGACTCAAGACCCCGGGGAGAATACCTGGCCTTCGAAGAGGAGCCAACCTTCCTGTTGAAGCTAGCAGAACGCGTCAAGGCCACTGCCATCTCAGGCACGAGCACCACCACCTGCGGCCTCTGCACGAAGCCCAGACCGTTGTGCACACCCACACACAGGCGCCGCTCCAGGATGTCCAGGGCACTGTCGTCCGGCAGGCCGTCCCCCTAGAAAAAGCACATGGCAGGCAGAGTGAGTCCCTGGGCAGAAGGGGAAGGACACTCACAGGCAGAGGCACACAGAAAAGAGGAACCACAGCAAAAGTTTCAGACATGTCCTGGTCAGATGGTGCTCAGCGAAAATGAGTCCAAGCAATAAATAAGCAATGGAGCCAGAACCAGGTGGCCTTAGGCATTTTCTAGACAAGTTTGGGGCCTCCTCCCTCGGCATGGACTTCCCGGGGTCACACACACCCGGCACACCACACCCCTCAGACGTCTGAATCACCAGACTCTCGCTCCAGGTTTCCAGGGCTGAGCCACAATCCTCAAGATGCAGCAAACTAGCAACCAGGGACTCTGGCTCCTCTAACAGAGCCCAGGGTACAAGGCACAGGAGCCCGCCACCCCCAAGGCAGGGCAGGCAGTGACAGAGGCGCCCCCTCCCCTGGACTCGGACTTTGGAGACTTGGGGTGGAAGGGGCAGGAGGAAGAGGGAGCATATTTAGGCAGTAAGTCATAAACCAATAAAAATGGAATCTGCCCCAAAGTGATCAATGGATATTAAAGTGTTTCATCTTAACAAAAAATATACAGGCGCTCTAACAAATGAGCAAGGATATTCCTCCAGGCTACTATTGTTTATTAAATTATGTGATCATTGCAAAATGATCCCTGAATTTTCAGGTTTTCTTCACTGGCCATTAATCAAGCTGAACAGACCTAAATTCAGCCTATTAGTCTTTGAATAATGAAAATAAAACGATAGAGATAACTATCTACCAGTTGGATAGGAACTAAAATACGAAGACAGTAAAAATACACAGGTGATTTTTATGGGAATACATAAAATTCAACAATGGTACTCTTAAAGCATCTATCCTCATACAACCCACTCAGCAATAAAGACGCAGCAGGAGCCACAGCAAGGACACGCACGCTGCTCCTTCGGTCCTCTCTTCTCTCTGGTTCATGTGTTTCTCGTTCATGAGACTACATTATGTGGAAACGTGTTTTCAGGAAGGGGCAGAGCGCAAACAAGAGCAGCTTGTTCCCGTGTGCATGTGCGTAGCTACCGTTTGCTGACTTCGCAGACTACTAACTAGCATGGGCTCCAACTGATTGCATCATTCATTTTCACAACAAGTAAATAGTAAAGCCCTACTGTGTGCCGGCATTATCTCAAGCACATCAGGCACAGAGACGAGCCAAATCGAGTCCTTGTCCACTTGCCCCACAGCCAGTGCAAATACCCCACCGAGGGACCGACAGTAAACCAGCAAACAGATAAGGAAAGCAGGTGCTCTCAGAGAGGGCCAGGCACCTGCAGAAAGGAGGCAGGGGAGTGTGCCAGAGAGAGCGCCTGGTGCAGCCTCGGTGGCACAGCCAGGGCAGCCTGCCAGAGCAGCCTCGTGGCACTGAGCATGGGCCTGAGAGGAGTCTGCAAGCGTCCAGAAAACCCATGAACAGCCAAGTGAGCTCTGCATTCAAAGGCCCGTGGTGGGAACAAGCTGCCACCCCCCACAAGGCAGGGACAAGGCAACATCACAGCCACGGAAGCGCAGACGGGGTGCCATCCAACCACCCAGCGAGAACTGCGGGTGCAGGCTTTCATATGGAGAGTTAGAGGCTGCGCCCGCTCACACAGGAGGCAGATGTGGCATGTGGGCACAGCGCCTCACCCAGAAAGCAGCCTGGATGGGGTAGGATGACTGATTTCTAGTCACCTCCCTAGAACAGGCCAAGTGTCTGCAAGATGTCCACTGTTTCGCTATTTTATGGGCTTCCCTATGCTCCTCTGGTGATTTAATTTACCTTTAAATGAGAACTGTTTCAAGATGTGTCAAGATTAATGCTAATTAATGTCTCAGGAACAGCACCTCCAAGTCACCATCAAAGCTCGGACAATGTCCTAGTGCCCCTCTTCAGCCACGAAATGAGGGAAGACACAGGACCGTGTCACAGCGCTGTGCCCCACGTCGGCCGCAGAGAGGCCAGCGGCTCCCTGGCTCTGCGCTGCCGTCTGCATCCCTGCTGCTGACTGAGCTCCGACTGTACCTCCCGGAAGTGATCACTGATGAGCAGCTCCAGAAGCTCCTGCTCAAATCTCTCAAGGGAAGGGTACAGCGTGAAGAACACGTCATCCAAGTACCATGTGACAGACTTCTGGAGGCGAGGCTTGCGGAGGGCATCTCCTGAAATGAGAGGCGGCCTTCATCTGTGGAAGGAAAACTACCCGGCCACTCGCGGCCAGGCGGCAGTGAGCGTGCGCACAGCCCTCGGACAGAAAGCCCCATCAGGGCCCACCTCCTTCAGGCAGAGGCACACGTGATTACACAAACACAAATTTCCTCTGCAGTCCAAATTCTACCCCAAAACTCCAGGAACAAATTCTGTCACTCAGCAATCCAAAGAACAGATTACGGAGTGCACAACAAGGGCTGCTCCCGTCAGTCTGGTTTCCCTTTATCACTTACACAGCCAACGGTGCCATTTCATACCGTATCACATCTACTTGGATCATTTGGAAACATGCAGGAATGCTCATGAGCATGCTGGGGCAACGGGCAGGCCACAGGCTGGGCTGGCACCGCCAAACAGAAGCCCCCTCCTGATTAAGAAGCACGTGGACGCCGAGCCTCACGAGGACAGAGGGCACGGTGGTTCCTGGCATCTAGCCCAGACATGCAAAGCCTTGCCTGCGAGAGGGGACGACAGGTCTGTTCAGGGAGGCCTTCTCCATGGCTGGAGCAGCACGGGAGGAAGAGGGCAACTGCTTTCTGACAAACACAGAACCCGCAGGCTCTGCCCTGTGTGTCCCTATCATTGTGATCTTTCCAGTTCTGGTCCTCTCTGTCTCTTCCTAAGTTGTTACAATTATTAAAACATTAGGTACAAAGTCTTAGATTTTAGAGCCAATTCTAAAGTTTAAAAAATGGACCTAAGACGCAGCACTGACAAAGCAAAGAACACTATGTTACTGACGGGCTGCAAGTCGGTATAAAGGCAATGTTGTCTTTGCCTTCGTGTGTATCAAGAGCCTTGAAAATATCCACATCCACCTTTTGCCCCAGGAGTTCCCAATTTTAAATTCAAAATAACCCAAGATGGAAGCAAAGTAGATTCTCAGTATGTGAGAATACTCATTAGAACATTATTTGTAGCAGGGAAAATAAGAAGCAACGAAACATTCAGTAACAAAGGAATGGTAAGTAAACTATTGTTCATCCACATGAAAAGAGAACAAAGGTCATATTGTCAAAGATTATTTAATTGTCAAAAAATAATCATGATATTGCAGGTAAAAACAACACAGAAAACTGCATTGGTCCATTTGACGCTAATTTTATGTAAAATTATCTGCAGTTGCACGCAAAC